GGCGTTTGAAGGAAAAGGTATCTGGGAGCAAACTGAATGCGTTTGATATAAAAATGATTGAGTGGCAATAAACTTTATAACAGCCTACTTCAAGCATGTGCTTTCTCTCCAGTGCTTGGAAGGAGGTTGTGGACTGTGGCTGTCGGTGCCTTTCATCACTTCGGAGTGGATTTTGCAATTATGCTGGCCCTGAAAACCTGTAGAACATGTCACCCGTTCCCATTATTTATCAGTATCTCTCATTTGTAGTTTTATGACTCCGTTTTAGGGCACTTGCTTTAATTGGTTTCAGCTGACGATAGCTAACTTCAGTTATCTGCAATATTATTGCATTTCGGGATGGCGCTGGTTATGATGAATAATAGTAGACAAACCTGTATTTTTCCTTAAGGGACACAAATCCTGCTTGTCTTCCAAGTGCACTGATGGTTTGGCAGGGTGAAAGGATGAATAAAAATTGCTTTCCAAGTGCGTGCAAGTTGACAGCCCAAAAGGTGATTTTCTTGACTCATATACTTCAGGTTGCTGGGTTTTACATATGGCAAGTCTCCAGAACAAATATTGCTTTTGGAAAACCTAATCAAATTCTGCCGTAAGAGTTAAGTTACTGAGTATCAAGCCTCAAATGATATGCTTGATTTAGACTTCTCTGGAGTTTAAAAATTGTAAATTCTATCAGCAGTGGTTTCATGGAAAAATGCAAAGCAAAAGTTGAAACTTTTTTAAGAATAAACTTGGGCACTAGGGCTTCTAGTGTGGGTGAATTCAGCATAGAAATGTAATCTGTTTAATGTTTTTTAAAAGGTCGCCTTCATTTCCTTGGGAGTGCTTTGAAGAGATGCGGTCACCCCGTGTCGTATCATTGTATTACATTACAAACCTTGTTGTAGTATCATGTGCTGATACTGAAATTTGTGTTATTTGTTGGGTCACAGTTTGAGAGCTCTTTAATGGAAAGGAAGTCTCGAAAGGAATTTAACAGAACGGGAGTGAAAATGTAAATTGGGTCATTTAACTTCTCCATGCCAGTCTCAGGCTAGCTAGAAAAGACATTTTAATGCAAAAATTGGTGCTTAGTTTCAAATTTTGCTTTGTGGGCTCCATATTAGGAAGAAAAAAATTGAGCTACCAGCTCATTGCATCTTCTCCACAAAAAAAACCCAGACTTCTGCTTTGTAGGTAGTATTTTAAAAACAGCGTACAAAAACTGCAGCATGTGGCCACCATGTAGCCACTTCTGACTCCAGATCAAGAGAAATTCGGTGTAGTTCAGAATGAGTAGGAGCAAACTTCGACTGGAAAAAGAAGGGAATGATAATGATGTAGTGATATGATGCAGACTTTGGATTAGGCTGTTTAAAAATGGGCAGAGTGATTAGACTGGAATCGGAAGCGCTGAAAGGTTCGTAGGAATGTATCGCACTCAGTCATAGTGCCCAAGGGAGAAGTGAATAAATGGCCTTGCGGGGAGGGAGCGTTTGGCCGTGGCTGTGGCCGAGACGCCAGTACTTAGAGCAGATAGCTTGCCGGAGGAGGTGCCTTGCCCTTGCTCTGTTATGCTTCAGTGTCTCTTTGAAACTGAATTTGGTTGAATGCTCGGTTATGCGATGAGTAAGTGCATTGATGGTGCTAAACGGTGATTTTCCTGAAAACAGAGGTCTGAAATGGTGTAGCACTGATGTAGCACTGGTGGAAAGTTTTGAACTGCTGTTATTAGTAAGCATTTTTGGTTTAGTACTCTTAAGCCTTGCTGCCCAGCTTATCTTGGAAGGGGACGGCCTCCTCCCTGTTTTCTTTCTAAGGTGCAGTTATAAAAAGGGGGACTGACCAAAGGAAGGGAGTCCTGCCAGTGTTTCTCTGAGGAAGTAAAGCTGTGAAACAAAGCTTTGTTATGCCATGTGCAAAAGTATTTTGGTGGAGAGATGGGAAAGCATTCTCCTGGATAAAATTGCAGCTCCTCTGGTAATAAGCTCTTAAAACACTGAGTAAATACTGAACTGATAAAATTCTTAGTGATTTTCCTCCCTCTCATGCCAAAGCCTACTGGAGAATATGTTACTACTATAATTTTTCCTTAAGTCTGAGCGGCTTCACTGTCTGTTGTTGTTTGTAAGAATCAAATTATATTAATAATTTGAGTAGAATATGCAAAATTTGTTAAATGTTATGCTTTTGTAGGGCCCAATGCTTTCTACCATGTATGTGACTCTGCTTGCTGTAGTATTCCTCCAGGAGAGATAAGGCACAAAAGGGAAGGCAGCTGTGGCAGACGTTTCCCCTACCTTGTGTACCTTTGCTGGCAGTCTGGAGTTTCTGTAGTTCAGTCACATTTGGCTAGAAGAATCGGAGTTGAGAAACAGAAGTTTGATGTTCACCCCTTGGGATTTAGGATTTTTTTTAAAAGGATCATAAATTGCAATAGTTGGAAGCAGCAGAATGAAGAGCAAGATGACGACAAATTGACCAAACAGCAGCTTAATTTTGTATTGATCTACAGAGGAATTCAAAAGGCTCTCACCTATGCCAGTCAACAGGAATTCTGTAAAACAGGGATGAGTTTGTGACTCTAAGCTGTGTCCCTTTTTGAGTAAGGGATGTGACAAGATTATAAATACGACTGCAAACACCCGTAGTGTAGTTATTTAGGACTGGGGGCTTACAGTTAACCAAATTGGAAACACACTATCAGGCAGGTTCTAAGATACCTCTGTGCAAAATCAATGTTACCACCATATCTCTTTGCAAGATGGTTGCTTTGGGCGTCAACTCTCTACTGTTAGTGTCACACTTGAATTTTTATAAAATCCGTTTGGCACTGGTAATGCAGGTTTTGAATATTGTGTACTACTTTGTCACGTTTGCAGGACTTCTCACTAATGGCCAATCTAAAGGATTAGGACCAGGATCAGAACAGCTGGAGAATGAGAAGGACGATGCATCACAAGTGTCCTCAACGAGCAACGATGTTAGTTCTTCAGATTTTGAAGAAGGGCCCTCGAGGAAAAGGTCAGTAGTGCATTATGATTAAAGTATAGCCTTTCTGCTTTGTCCCTTTTGTGCTATAAGGTGGTGATTATGTTATCAGTGGGGTATGGTTGCACATACTGCCCTACCATAAACAGACTTTCCAGTGTGGAGTCCTTCTATTAACAGTGAGGATATAGTAAATTTTGCTTCATCCATTGCTCCATCCATAGATGGTTCTTCTTGTTGTTTTGGAAAGCACGGAAAAGCAGTTGTTGTTCTGCAGTAGGTGATGGCTAAATTAAATGCCTTAAGACTCTCTCCCCTCCTGCCCTCCCTCGTCCTCCCCTGGCTTTGGCCTCTTGGGGACATGTCAATACATATGTGTGTGTAATTCCAAGGAAAGCATCACTAATGGTTAGTGGTTAGTGTTACTGTTGTTATTTTTAATTTTCTGTGAATGAAACCATGTGAAGTTAAAAAAAATAGATGCTTCTCAGCAGAGAAACTGTATAGCAAGGCAGTGTGGTGTGTATTGGTTGCAGAGGACTACTTTGAGATATTGCTTTAGGAAGCTGCCTCCTCTTTCCTAGAAGTCAGTTATGAGGTCCTTGTTGAACTCTTAAGAGTTTTTATCCCGAATGTGCAAAATGTGGGTTAAAATGGTAGAACTCAAGCCAATCTATTATAGAAAATATGCTGAGAATGTAGGAGGCTGGGAGTTGTCCTCCGTATGAAGTAAGAACCAAAACAGGCTGTCTGAAAAATGCCATTTAAAAAGAGAGAAACAGAAAATGCTTTCTCAACCTTTTTACTTCACACTCCTTGCATCCTAGTCCCAAGCCAAAATGAACCGTAAAATAAAGTTCTTCTTCAAACAAAAGAAGTATTCCTCTTTTCTGTGTGACCTTATGGTTCCCCTGAGAAGCCCGATGGGGTAAGGAGAGTGGTGCTTTCCTGGACACCCCCGTGTTCCTATATCCCCCACTCCTGGTCCCCACAACCTTTTCTACCCCCCCAGCAACAAACTCACAGTCTAGTTAATATGCCCATGTAGCTCCTCTAGTGTATCAGAATAAAATTTGTATTATCTTCTATACTGGTAGAAATTTTGTAAAGCTTACTGCATCCTACTGCTGGTCTGGGGAAAAATATTTGTGTGTTTATTTTTGGCTTTATGAGATATAATGGAGGCTTGAAAATGGTTTCTGCTTAGAAATTTAGGTGACATCCACTGTAGGTGTGATCCTGGGAGACAGTGGTCATCATTTCACGGCGTTGCCACTGTTGCTTGCACATTATCTTAAGGAATTTTTGCTGCCCTCTGCGCTTGCTTTGTCCCCTTGTTCCTCAGCCGTGCTGAAACAACCACTTGCAGGGTCACATCATGAGTAGGTTCAAGGAGCTGGTTAGGATTAAAAATAATAGCGAGAGGGAGACAGATTGAGACTCTTTGCCAGGGTTCTTTATTTTTATCCTACATGAGTTTTCATCTCCTGTCCACAGCATGGCTGCAGGAGCAGCTGCCAGTGCAACCGAGGGGGCATCCCCTTCCTCTCTTGGGGCTGGCAAGGGGCAGGAGGGCTTGTCCCTTACACTGACCCTGCTTCTGGTGCCCTGCACAGTCCAGCTTCAGAAATGAGTGGGATTGCTACATCACCGTCCCAAGAAACTGCATTTGAGTATTGCGGGCGAAATTTTTTTTGAGGAATATTTGCTAGTTTTTGGCTGTGGGATTTTAGACACTTGAGAAGCAGCTGGGTGGTTCAGGCTTAATAATAGGGAACTCAGTACCTTTGGTATTTTTCGGGTTAAAAAACAAAAAACCCTCCCAAAACAGAAGCTAAGATGAAAAATATCTTTCTGGCATTTGTGAAAGACAAGGCATCATTTTAGCTCTTCTTCATGCATCATGAACTGTTGACATAACATTACGTTTGTTGCTGCAGTTGCTGTGAAGGAGAATGTTCCTGTTTTGTTTCCATTTACACCCAACACAGACTTTTATCTACCTTTTTCCTCCCCCAGCTTCCTCTTCGCAGACAGACCTCTTCTGGGTTCCTTCTCTTAAGCTATATTGCAGCATGTTGAGTGTTTTGATACCTTCTCTTGTTTCCTTTTAGGTTTTTTGTTTTGTTTAGCTGAATATGTAATGTTTCCTCGATCCAGGTCATCTTGGGATCCCACAAAGAGTTGTGCCAGGAATACTGGGTGGACAAAGGACCTGCAGGAGGATGAGGAAGGGGGATGGGACTGAGATGGGATCTGTGGTTCACTGCCTCAGCTCATCAAGTTTTGAGAAATTGTGCCCTCCTTGTCTTCCCCGTGCTTCCTCAAAATCAAACTTTTCAATTGTCTGTTCAGCTGTGTGTACAATTAATGGCACTCTTGCACTAAAATACAAATTTAAACACTGTAGCTTTAGCATGTACTTCATGCAGTTTTTTTTCCCTCCCCAAAACGAGTATTTGTCTTCTTGAAATACTGTGGTATATAGCTGGTGGTATATGCAGTGACATGATTTTAGGGATTGGTGCACTTAGTGAAGCATACGTGTTTGGAACTTGCTCTATATAATACAGTGAGTTTTGAGTACCAGGTTTCCTGTGGTGTTTTTTATGGGTTGTGGGGGTTTTTTTTAGTGTATGGCAGGAATGTTTCTTTTGGAAACTTGAACCTGTCATCTTCTAGAGGAATAGGTCACCTGTATTTCACACCAGTGATGGAAACAAAAAGAGCGCTAAGCAAGTAAACATAGTAAATAAGGGAGGGGGGCTCCAGTTTGTTTAGTAATTTAAGGCTCTGGTTTGACCTTGCAGTTCTTCAGTGTAATGGCAGGCTGGTACCGTGGAGGCAAATAGCCTCTTCCCAGTTTCTTCTTCCTTCCTCTTCCCGGCCGTCGTGTCTGGCAATCTTCTGGCCCCCAGGTTGGTCAGTTCAGTGGGCTGATCTGGCAGCATTTTCCCCCCACTGCTAGAGCAAGTCACGTTATATAAATGGAATAGGGAGATAGATTCATGCGTGTGTGCAGCATGTGTATGTTTAATTTGCATTTATAGTTGATCCAAACTCTTCCAGTTTCAGAAATGATTTGCATGAGAGCCTGGATGAATAGCAAGTGCCAATTCTCGTAGCAAGCTGAGTGGAGGGTGAGTTTGCTAGCGGTTAGCATTGCCTTGTGGTCTCACTATGCCAGCCATCTCTGGTGTAGATTTTCCTTGGGTTAAAACTAGGCAGTGGATGCTCCCAGTGAGTTACTGGTCAGAGGACTTAGTTGTAGATAGATAGGTGCTGACAAGTGTCTGTGGGGGAGGTAAATCCCTACCAGTCTGCCTGTTGACCAGTGAAGGGATTACTGCTGAGTATTCCTTATTTCACACGTACATGCAAAGCTGCGTAACACAACAGTAGAACCCCCAACCAAGCGCTGCTTCAGGTTTATCATATCTATTTTTTTTCAGTTTCGACCCCTTTCCCAGTACCGTAACTTGATTGAAGAGCCACACATGCTGTAAAGAGAGCATCGTGATGGGAGGAAAGAGGTTGTGATTCTGGTGAAAGTATGCTGATTTAATATAATGATGCAGATTTTGTTCAGAAACTCACTTAGATACTTTTGTTTGGTGGACCAGGCTTTTGAACGCTGTGGCCCAGTGCTGTTAGGCTTCAAATGGCTCCACCTAGTCTCTGTAGGTACTTTGTCAGTAATTAACACCTTTGCTTTCTGGGAACGGGAGGAAGCTTCCTACACAGCCAGGTTTGCAGCCAATGGGGAAAGTCCCATCTCCATTTCTTTTTAAGTGTAGGGTTTTAAATTGCAACAGAAACCATGGAACAGTACTGAAAGTGTGCAACCTGCCATTTTGTGATGCTGCAGGTTTCAGCTGTGATAGCTTGGTGGTGGTAAGGAGGGAAAGAAGTACATGTACAGCTTTGCCTGTGCAAAGTCTCCAGATCAGTCGAAAAATTACAAGCCCTACTTACAGAATAAATAGGGTTTAAGGAGGATTGGCAGGGGCAATAGTGGTAAGCTCAGGACTTCAAAATATTTAGATTTGTTTGAGTTTCCACTCAAAGAATGGGCAATACTTGCTTTGGTCTGAGCTGTTACAAGGGACCAAGTCTGGGGGGAAGCAGAGGGTTAATCGTGAGTAGTAAATACTACTTTCAGCCAGTAAAGAGGTGTCAGTGTTATTCTAACATTTGGCAAAAGCTAAGCATTTGAATGTTACACTGAATCTGTTGTGTAATAGGTTGCTGCCTAACTGCCTTGTAAGTGAGAGCAGTTGCTAGTTTGTTCAATGGTTTTGGTAGGTGGTGAACAAAAGCGTTGGTATACAGGCTTGGTAAACTACCAGGCTGGATGGTCTTCACCGAGTAAAGACCGTGCATTTTCAAAACCCATAAAAAAGGTAATTGCTGAAGGAGAAGTGTAACTTCAATGTAGCTGCATGTTCTTGGTATGAATCTCCAATTTCCAGCTATGATTCGCAGTTGAGAAGGTTAATAGGTAACAGGCCAAAGGTGTTCGAGTCACTGTGCTGGATGCTCCTACATTTTTATGGGCAACTCTTAGACTACAACCACTGGCAATTAGTAACAGTGTGCAGAGACAGCTATATGTTTTCTAGCAACAGTTGCTCACCTTACCCAGGAAAAGACATGTGCAGAGCAGACTTGGTGTGACAGTATGTTAATCTTTGGTGATAGTAGGCTATTGCTTGCTTCCTGTTACTAATCAGGTGGCTACTCATTTACATGACCCCCTTTCCAGAAATGCACACAAGGAATTGCCAAATGCACAAACGCATTTATCTTTTATTGTAAAGTTCTGTTAATAGAAGGCTGTGAGAAGTGGGAGGAGGTTGACTGATTTTAAGAGTCGTTAAGCTTTAAATTTGGGGGTTTTTTTACTTAATGTTAGAATATTTTCTCTATTAAGGGGGACAAAGAGGTTTGTTTAGTTTAGAAGAAAAAAAGGGTTGAAGAAATTTCCCCCCCTTGCAGGAGCGGCAGAGTGGATGCATGTCCCCCCCTGGACC